TGGGTCTCTACTGCTAGAAGCTGAAAAACTCCTGTTAGCGGCATCTCAGCCTTCAAGGACGGAGGAGTTGGCCTGAAACGGGGTAGTAAAAGCAGCTGGGGATCACTAACGAGTTTTCTTCTTTCACTCTCCATAAGAATGAAAGAAACAAGGAGCACCAGGGATGGCTTATTTGGTGTTGGTGTCATCCCTGGGAACCTGCTGGCAGTGCCCATCTCAGCGGGAAGCACCATGCTGCATTCACTGGTGTATTTTGGGTTTAGGAACATCTTGTTCACCCAGGATTGCTGAATTCGGGAGCCCACTGGTGTGGCAGCTGGGAGGACGGGGATGGCTGAGCTCTGTCGCGGTCCCAACTCGAGGGCCTGAGATCAAGGAGGGGGCTCGTGCCGTGCTGTGCCCCTACAGACACGTCACCCGGCAGCTCTGAAACACGAGTCCTGGGAGGAACACGCTGTGTGAGCTGAGCTGTGGGAGCGCTGGCTTCTCCTTCAGCCTCAGAGTGCTTCATGAACGGCAGAAAATCCAATGTCCCAAACCTCGGTGCTTCTTCCAGCTGGGCCATGGGCTCCTTGGTGCTGCATCGCAGGAGAGAAATAGCCCCATTAAAGCTGGATCCGTCGGGGAAGGTGCCTGGAGTGACTCCGAGCAGGACCCTTCTGCCGCACATTGCTTGGATGTGGATGATGTTTTCCACCCCGAGGCGGGCTGGGGGGATGTGCAGGAAGTAGAATGACTTGATGGGATGGTGTGGGAGCCCTCGTGCCCTGGGGTAGTAGATGCAGGGTCCCAGGGAAGGTGTAGATTGCTGCTGCCGCAAAGGCTCGTCCTCAAAACGAGCCCAAGCAAAGTGTGGGTGAGCTCTGCTGCCATTTTGCTACCAGAGCCTTACAAACACTTTCGACCCCTTGAATCCGGTTTGCAAGACCGGCTTAAGATAAGTTTGGCAAGAAGATAGGGTAAAAAATTTGAGCCACCGCAAGGTCAGGGGCTTGTTGGCTTCCTTGTTTTGTTGCTACGAGTCTTGAATCCTGCTTTTTCCGAGTGCCGGTGCTGCGCCAGGCTGTCGGGAGCTGCTGCTCTGCTCATCCCCTTGCTGGGAGATCACTGAGTGCCGGGACTTTTTTCCCAGCCTGGGAAGGAGCTCGGTGGGAATTGCTTGGAGCAGGGGGAGCAAACACCTGCACCCAGCTCCCGGTGCTTTGCCACGCGACGAGCGCTTGCTGCCATCTCCCTGCCTGGTTGCTGCCATCTCCCTGCCTGCGGATGAGCCCCCGCTGCCCGTTGTTGCTTGCCGGGCGCTGAGCGAGGGCAGAGTATTTGCGACTCTCCGTAATGACCCTAAATGATCAGATTTGCCCAAATGAGATGGTCAAAGCTGTTGGCTCCAGATCTGAAACCCTCCCTCTGCTCCTGCATGCCAGAAATCTGCCTTATTTACTGTCAGGCTTCGGCGTGGGAGAGGGGACCCTTCCCCCCTTCCCCATCCATCCCTCTGCCCAGTTCAAGCTGGACAAAGTGTAGGAAGAGAGGAGGTGACACAAGAGGTGCTCTGCAGTCCCTGAACCGTTTCCTCTGCCCTCCTTAAAAGTGAAGCCAGGCAGCAGCGTTGGACCGTGCCCAAGGGCTGAGCTCGGGGGAATTCACCATCAGCAGGGCTGTGCCAGCGGCGGTCGCAGCCCAGGCCTGGCAGGCAGCCCTGCCTCGTTGCCCTTGGTTAGCCTGGGGGGACAGATGCGGTGCGGGATGCTGAGCACCTAGTTTTGGGGAGTGTTTGGAGCTTTGCTCAGCCTCTTGTCACCCTGCTCGAGGCGCTGGGTTGCTTCAAGTCCGGTCCTGCCGCTGGGGAGGTTGAGGTGTTGGTGTGGGGGGCGAGGGGTGCGCCGTAATTCTCCAGCTCGGGCTGGAGGACGAGGGGGCTGTTTGCTTTTTGGAGGCTGCTGTCGGCACCGAAGGGCTTAAAGGAGTGGGGGAGATGGGTGGCCGTCTCTGTCTCCGGAATTAGTGGGGTTTTGGGTGGCTAAACCACACGCTGCGGTACCCGGGGGCTCTGGGAAGCTGCAGGAAAGCAGCAGGCGTGATTCATGTCTCCGAGCCGGCTGCAGAAATTCCCTGGTAGGCTTCAAGTTTGCTTTCCAGGCACTTCTGCAGAGCAGGGCTGACTGCGAGCCAGGGCGGTGGAATCGGAGGGACTGCAGTAAATCCTCCTTCCTCCCTCTCTTCCAGGACGGGATCTGCAGTGAGGCGCAGGGAGCTGCTGCGGCGCAGCCTGGGAGCTCCTGCTGTTCGCTGGGGAGCCATCGGCCTCGGGGGGAAAACGGGCTCTGAATAAATCCCAGGTAACTGTCGTGTGTGACACGAGGCTGCCCGGGAAGCCCTCGGCAGGGCTGGGGTGACACGGTGACAGACTGGCCCCCTCGGGAACAGCATCGGGACTGCACTGCAATACCCAAAGTGAGTCCCAAACCAGTGCAAACAGTTTCTCTGTTACTGCCCACCAAACTGGCGCTGGCTCCGTGCTCTGCCCAGTGGGCTCAGCCCCCAGATTTTATCCAGATTTTCTTTTTATCCCTGTTGGAGATCCCTATCCAGCTTGGACAGGGAACAGAGGATGCAGTTTCTCTGGCCACATCTCCTGTGCTCGCAGGGGATTGCTGCATTTGGCTTTCAAGATGCTCATTTACATTATAAAACCATTTGCAAGCTCTTTTTTTTTTTCCTTTTTTTTTTTTTTTTTAACTTGGCTTTGCTCTCCGGGCTCCTGCCCCTCCAAACCAGCAAGGCCACTGCGGGCTTTCAAGGACGATCCTCTGGTTTCTTTGCTGTTGAATAAAAGAATTGGTGAAAGAGCAGTAAAACAAATCCCTGCTGACCTTTGAGAAGGGCTATCCACTGCCTCCGGGTCGGGCTTCCTCAGCCTGCCCGGCCGTAAATCTGCCCAAAACTGCTTGAATTATATAATACAGCCCCAAGTGCTGGGCGGGAACCTCACACCCTTTGAATTTAAAGCAACACTGCTGGAGCAGGGATGGTTTCTGGAAGGAGGCTCCTTTTGATCTCGCTGGAGTGCTTGGTCGGGCGCTGGCAGACTCGTGCCGCTCTCGGCTGCGCTGTCCCTTCGCTCCGGCGTTGCTCTGAGCCTCAGGTTTCGCTCGGTTCCTCTTCCCAGCCCAGAGCTGTTCCCTGCCTAGGTGTGAGGGAGGGCTGGGGGTGAATTTTCCCTTGAAAAGTGTTTCTTGGATGGGGAGGCACAAACCCCGGGGAAGTTCGGTGAGCCCTTGGTGCGGGGACGAGGGCTGCCCAGCCTCGCGTGGGATGGGGTGAGCAAAGCGGCTGCTGGTGGGGGGAGTGAGTCGAGGCTGGAGCCTGAGCAGGGGTGAACACTGGCGTCTTCAGCGACTGCTTTCCTCCTCCTCCTCCTCCTCCACATCCTCGTTATCGAACCAGCTGATTCCCCACTCCTCGGCAGAGCCCGCGGTGCGCTGGCGTGGCTGCGAGGTGCTCGCCCTCCCCTGGGGAATGGGCTCCTCCAGCAGCCCGGGAGTTGAGGGCTTCTCTGGCTGCTTCATCTCCTTGTGGCTCTTCCCATGAGATCCCAAGCTCTTTCCTTCTCCTGGCTTTTCCTTCCTGGAGCTCTCCGTAGCGACCTCAGCAAGGAAACTAGCAACCCTCAGGCTTTCTGGTCTGCTTCTCCTCCCAGGGAAGTGCCGCTAGCTGGAGACCACCATGACGGACTCGAAGTACTTCACCACCACGAAGAAAGGTAAGAGAGGGAGCAGGAGGGTCACACAATTTTTCCTCAAATAATCAGGCTTTTCTTGCAGCTGTATAAGCCAGACAGGGAGGGCTGTCCCTGAGGTGGGAAGCTGATGGAGGTGCCAGCTCTCGTGGGAATGCCCTGAGCCCACGTGGAATGCTGTGACTGACACCTCGCTCCGACGCAGCCGGGGGCAGCTCCTGGGCTGCACCTCGTCACCAGCCCCCTGAACCCAGACAAGGCTGTTGGGTTATTGGCTTTAGCAGCTCAGGAGCAGCTGCAGGACATGGTCCCCTGCCCTGAGCTCCCCTGGACTGGGACAGAAGCACTCGAGGTGTTTGACTTAAGTGCTTTCCAAACCAAGGAATTAATGTGGAGGAAAGCCACATGTGGCATCTTCCTCTTCAATCTGCCTGCCTGGGAGTGAGTAAAGAGCTCAGGGTGGGAGGCAATGCCCTTTGGCTCGGTGTCCAGAGCCGACGGGTTGCCCCCAGCAAGGCGCTGGGCTGGGGGCTTGCCGCCA